ACAATTGTGCTGCGCACGCTACGCTGCGCGCGAGAAGGGGAAGTTCTACGCGATGTGTTATCATTCATCGTGCATAGATACATACCTAGGTACACATTATCCACACTTATGGCTGGGTGATTGGATGCGATGAGATGAAGATCTTCACGGGGTGGGAAATCCATACATGTACTATTCATGAGATTGTTGATCGGATCAATAGGGTAGATACATATTTGTTTGTGATGCACCATGTGTGTTTTACATCTGACTAACTAACTAACTGTATTGTATACTGTGTACTGTGTACTGAGGAAAAGTTTCATTTGGTGCTTTTGTGTATCAAAGGTTCCTGATTCAGAGGTTCTGGATGATCGGATTGTTGAGTTTTTGATTCATCGGGAGTCGATGGATAGCTGGTTGGCTGGATCGCTATGGAGAGACAGGTGGTTCTGCAGACCTGGTCTTAAGGTGGATGTGTGCTTCTGGGATAGGGGTCGTCGTGTTGAGGATTATTGGGAGAGGGATGGAATGAAAGAATTAATTTTTGGGGGCGAGGGGTAGTTGGTTTGATGGGATGGGATATTATATGTAGTATGATTGAAACGGTGGAGAGGTTACCGCGTTGAGGAAATTTCGATATCGTATCATGAATTTGGGAGGAATGGGTAGATGATGGTTGGGTTGGTTGGTTGGTTGGTTCTAAGCATGCTTGAAGTATTATCTGTTTCTGATGTTTGAGGATTGAGGATTGTGAGTGGAGATAGGTGAGATGAGATGAGGCGAGATGAGTTGGTATGGTGGGTGAGATGGATGAGATGGAATATGTATTTGTATTTATTCTGTACTAGGTGTTGTGAGTATCGTGAAGATGATGGGAGAGGGAGAGAATTTGGTTTATGATGTTGATAATTTGATTCGATGAGAATAAGGATATAAAATCTATTGTTAGTATTAATGAATCTCAACTTGGAAAGGTAAGAGAAAGAGAAAGAGGGCTGGAGGAAGATCTGTCTCCTGATAAATGGAGACTGGTGGTGAGCGGGTGAAAGGAGGGAGAGAGGGAGAGAGGGAGAGGAAAGTTCCTTGATGGTGCATCATACTTCGTACTTCATACTTCATGCACTTCTACTTGACACACTCATAATTTATATATTCATACCTCATACTCTCATACTTCATCATCATCATCATCATCATCATCGTTCAAATAATCCATCTACTATGTACCTCATCAACACCAAGACAAAAATGTTCATAATACCATTTTTCATTCTATCCTATCCATCCTCTGCGTTTTTCATTTTGTAGTTTTACTTTCACGTATGTAAAATTCCTTGTTTCAATAATCTCGTATCATCTCATCTCATTCCTATATGTCTCTACCCTCCCTCAAAGTTCCTACTTTACTTTATTGTATTAACTATACTCTACTATTATACTCCATCTCATCCCACCCCATCATTTATCTTTATTTATAGTTCTCCTATAATTTTGCCATTCCCTTGCTCCAAAATTTTGCATTTGAAACTTCATACGGTACACCTATCTGGCTATTTCGATTATTCATCTCTCATATCTTTGGTTCCTGTCAGAACCGAGATGTGTATATATTAAAAGTTATCTACTCAAGAATATGAGGTATTCTTTATCTTCATTTTTGAGTTGATTCTTTTGGATCAAATTCACTAGGTACTGTAGATATATCGAAATGTTCTTTTCCTCATATACTTATTCCTAACCAGTAAATTGATACAGTCGATATGTTACTAGCTTTGTTTGATCACTTTACAATCTAGATCGATGTAATAACTCCCAATCCCTTACCACTTGAGTTCGATTCGGAGAAGATGAAGGAAGATATGGAGGTGATGCATAAGATACGAGGATTCTATGTATATAGCATAAGGGAATAAGAAAAACAGGAATCAAGGAGATGCGGAGATGGGAAAGAGAAATGCATTGTATTGTACTGTACTGTTTTGTATAATTTTGTATCACATTATCCAATACATCACATACAAATAAAAGTTGGAGTTGGGAGATACCTCGGGACTGTGATGGCAGTAGATGTGAATGGGGGGTCGACTTCAAAAATAGTAAGTAAATGTATTAATCGTGTTAAGAGAGGTTAGGAGACGAATATCCAAAGAGATAATGTTTAGGGATAGAGAGATTGATGGGTTATGTGAAATAGAGTGTGTGGAGAAAAATTGAAGTATTTCTATGAAAGGAAAATTGGAGTTTAGATCTAGGATGTGGGATGTGAGTGAGAAATGCTAGATTAAAGGGGGGAGGAGAGAGGATATAAAAGAAGAGATGAAAGAGATCGTAATGAATGGGTGCCAGGCATCATGAATCATTAATGTTCATTCATATTAGAGGAGGTGGAGATTGTGTGCTGTGTGATGATGAAGTATACATGAAATCGAATTGTTTACTCTATTATTGTTGACTTGTTTGTGCTTGATATGCTATAATTCTTGTTATTTGTATAGAGATGTCAAGAAGAAGATTTTCGGAATATTTAGACACTTTTTACCAACACGAAGATAAAATCTTTGAGAGAGGCAAGGGAAACGAGGAAGAGCAGAGGGGAAATCCATCAGAATGATTGTTTGATATTGGTTGAGGGTTTGTTCTTCCTTGGAAATATGTCATCTTGTATGGATGCTTACAGCTCTGTTAGATGGTGACGGTGGTAGTATACTCAGATATGATGAGTTATGTAGTCTAGCATACTGTTTTCTGCGTGTTTTATAAGTATAGGTGACAATAATGTGTGGAATTGAAATGTCACATTATTTGTGATAGGAATATCTGGATGTTTGTGTCGAGAGCGAAATCATGAGGTGAGGTGAAATGTGAAAGTGGAATACAGTAGTGATGATTGTGTATGTATGCGTTGATATGCGTACTATTTGTTTATGGGATGCTGAGATGTAATGTTCACTCAATTTTTGATGCTTAAATAACTAAAGTACAGCTCGCATTAATTTATGTCATTCCCTTCACCTTAATTCCTTTTGATTCTATCTCGCCGGTTTTCTTCTTCTCCCTTGCAAGACATTTTTGGATGTCCAGATTTCCATTTCCCTGCTACCTACGACCAATGTACAGCAGATTTCTGGCCCATCAAAGAAAGGAAAAGAAAAAATATCCGTTGCTATGACCTGAATGGAGTATCTTTTTACCTGCTCAGCTGAACATACTAGCTAGGTAGGTAGTTTTATGAGCTGCAACATACTCACTCAAAGTAGCTTGAAGATGTGAATTCCATCACGTTCACTGTAGCCACACCCAACGAAGAACAAAATCGCAGCAAAATCAACTTCTGGAATTATGTTTGTTGACATACCACATCTCAGTAAATACTTAATCAATATTGAAGTCTAATCACCCAACGTAACGAGGACTGAGAATTCTTCCAGCTTTCCACTCATCCATTACTTCATTCCAACGTATCGGCGCTATAGATGAGAGTGAGGCACTTGCTCACCGAATTTGATAATGAATTGACTGCACTAGGTATTGTTGCTGTCGCTATTAACCTTAGGTTATGTATAGTTGAGAGCCGTGGATCATACATCGCTAGCTAGCACCTCGATTCAGATCCACGCCAGTTCTTTCGACGATAATGTAGGGTTCTCTAGAAACTTCGGGAAAATGATGGGAAATCCAAGGATTAAAGATAGCAAACCCAATAAACGACTGGAGCTGACACCCATTTCACAATATCTTGTACATTGGAAAATAAACTTCGAGACAGATAATGGAAATGCAGGAAGCAGGATGATTGCCACTCTGCATGGAAAGTAGTAGCAGAAATCCAAACGAATCTCTTTCTGAATGACCTGTCAAAGATGCCTTCATAAGCGTATAAGTTACATCTCAACTCAATATAGGGAAATATCTTTAATGAGAAATACCACTGGATATTTTCCTGATTTGAAAATTTCAACTTAATTTCATCATTCTATCTCATTCCGTATCCCCAATGCTCATTCGAATTTTCATTTCTCGAATTAATTCTGTGATGGGTTGTTAGGTTGCAAATCATCACCATGATGAAACATTCCACAACCCCTGAATTTGTTGTTCTTTTCTGTAAAAGGTTGCAATGTAACCCTTCTACTCGTATTTTAGACTGATGAATGTGAAGGATTTCCTAGTTCGTGAAAGATGTTTATGTTGTCCCGTGTAAATGCATCGTCTCTTTTGATAGACAGGATTCCCCTGTTTTATCATTTTCCCTTGAGCTTTACTAAAAGCTTCGAGATTCGAGAATTGTTCATCTTCCGATCCGTTTGGTGCCCTGTTCTCCTCTTCCCCTTCTCCTCTTCCAAGCTCTATTGCCCCACCTGGTGCTAAGATAACTGATAACTTGCATCTTTTTCGCTTCTAGCGGGTAGATCCAGGGCTTTTCAGGGAAGTCCTATCATGCTACACGTGATGGCTAGAAATGAGGGACATGTTGAGGGAAAATCAAAATGAACTGAATGAGAAGGAGAAGGAAAAAGAGAAGAGAAGAGAGAGGAAAGAAAATTATGGAACTGTGATATTAAAAGTCAAACAATAACCACTCGAATCATAATTCCAACTTAATAAATTTACCCTAAATAAATTAGAAATATATATAAATATAAATATTAACAACAACCATCATTTTGGGCCTTGACACAATTGAGAAGGTCTCCTTCCGCTTAGCGGGCTTCGTGGTCGGTCCCAGACCATAACACCACACCTCCCCCAGCACATCTTCCTTCCTCTCCTCTCCCACAAAACAACAACAATCCATAAATCTTTCAAATTTGATCCATCAGATCTATAGATTAACGCGACGAAAGCCTCTCCACAACCCATCAAATCCATTTCATTCAAACAAAGCAAGTAACTATCCGATATCTATGCCCATTTTGCATCGCATATCGCATTGTTGACGCGCCTACCCTTCATCTTGCGCCAATCTCTGTGATTCTTTCACACCATACATTCTTACTAACTGATTCCCATAGGAAGCAATGCCTAGTATAACTAGATCCGCTACTGGTGAGTTACTTTTTATATTCATTTCCCAGATCCCATTCTTCAGCTATTGAAACATACGGTCGCAAATCGCGTAAAAATGGAGCTTCACTAACTCGATATATTAGGCAGTATCCCAGCCCAGCCTGTCTCAGCACCTGTCCAAGCTCCCAAGCCAAAGAAGGCCGCAGCAAAGGCAAACACTGGAAAGAAGGTTGCTCCAACCAACGGCTCTAAGCCAACCGGTGTTGTTAAGAAATCTGCTGTCTCTAAGAAACCCGCTGCCCCAAAGAAGACGCCCGCAGGCATTGCTCAGGTATGTCAGATATTGCTATATCTAAGACCAGATATTGATTATTCAATAGCTTGAAGCTGCTGTAGACGAAAAGGTTGCCGAGGAGGTTGCCGAGGAGGTTGCAGACACCGCTGAGGAAAAAGTCGAGGAGGCTACTGCTGAGAAGCCAGCGCCCAAGACGAAGGTATGTTCCATTTTTACTTTTATATACTTTGATCTTCACCCCAACTCTTTTTCTATTCGCACATAGTTAACACATCATTCTTTCCCAGGCTGCCCCCGCACCAAAGAAGCCTGTCACCACCAAGAAGGCCGTTTCTAAGAAACCCGTCGTTAAGGCCTAAGCAAAAACATCTTTAACAAAATCAATCGCTCTTCAGGAACACATATGGAGGTGTCTCTTTCAAGAGCCTTTATAATATAACAACCCTTTGGATTGAACATACAATCACTCCGTCTAGTTGATACCCAGTATCTTTGTTCTGAGCGAGCGTTACTCTGGAGTGTATATGAATGTGCCCTGGCGTTTCTCAGGCGTTTTCTAGTTTTTGGGTCGAAGGTGGTAATGCTACGTTCAATGTTATGACTTGTGGATCTTTTGGGGGACTGTATCTAGATAGTATCTATGGATGCGTATTTGGGAATAGGGGAATGCTTTTTCTTTACCTTTACTTTTGGAAGAAGAATTGTGACGAGGGAGATTTTGGAAAGATGGAATAGCTTGTTAAATGAACAGACGATGGATCTAAACGAATTGTAAATGTTTTATACCGAACAATTTGAATGCTAGCAGTTGTCTATGCCTTTAATCCTTGTGATACCGTACTTCAAGTTGAAGACCTGCGTCAACCCCTTCATTGATAGGAGTATACATTCAGCTAATAGCGCCCAGCATCGCATACCTTGTTTACTGCTTTTTCTATGCTTCTTCTGTTTTTCATCCCCCAATTTGCTTTCCATATTTTTGTCTTCCGAATTGTGATATCCCTATCCAGCATATCCTTATTCCCACTTACTAGCTGAAGACTTCTTGTCATCACTAACTTAAACAGCACTAGGTACCCATTTCTAAGAGATACAAAATCACCACAAAATGTCCTTTACTTTTCTCTCATCTCCCGTAGCCTGTTTTCACTCCTGCCCCGCCTTCTTTCCAGCTTTGCTCTTCAACCACCTTGATACTTTTTAACAAGTCTGGAAATATACAGTCTATTGACCTTGGATATCTGAAAATCATTGTTTCCTGTATATCTGAAGAGTCTGTATGCTTTTCATGCTCACGCAGATTCCCTTCTTACAAACTCCCCTCCCAAGCTGCTCCGGCTTTACCGCCTCACATTCCCCTATCGTGTCCGGTACTTTCCCCGTCTTTCCCCCCCTCGCTCCCTATCATTTTGTGTCATAGGTTTGTTTGCCTTTCTGGAACATCGCTGGAGGGCATAGCCTAAGTATCTCCTTATTTTCATCTCTAGCCTCATTATTCCGATTCATTGTTTTGGTTTGTTGGGTTTAAGATAGATACTGAAATAGCAAATCTCGTGGCGGCTTTTGAGGGGAGTGGAGAAGTAGGGGGGGTATAGTTGGGTAATGAATGTATGGGATGGATATGGAATGAGTGATTGGTAGTGTGTGGGCGAGGTGGATGGGAAGGGAAGTGAGGGGTTAGGAAGTTAGGAGGTTGATGGATTGAGCGGGCGACGGAGTGCGATGTGCGGAGTGTGGTGTATAGATACTCCTGGTGTGTTGGGAATGGTGGGTTGAGGGGCGGAGGCGATGATTTGATTCGAGCTACGAGTATCGGGACGGAGTTTGGTGGGTTGTGGGGAGGAAACTGGGAAGTTGGGGATGGATGTAAGAGAGATCTTGGTGAGTTTTTCTTCATTTCCACATTTATCTTCTTTCCCACCCGGACCCCAAGTCTCTCATCCATCGTCAAGTAATTAGATTGGTTAAATATCCATGGTTGACTGTTAGAACTTCAACTTCATGTGTCAGCTAACTAGAATTTAGGATTCATATCTCATGGAGATGCGTATCCAAGATGGTGGATAGTGTGTGGCTTGTTTTTTTTTCTCATCGTGGGAGGCTTTTTGATGCTGGGATATGATGTATTTTGATATTGGGAAGGTAATCAAGGAATGTTGGAACTAGGATATGTCTACGAGTTTTAGATCTGAAAATTAGATGCATGGATGTGCATGAAGACTTGAATTTGTGAGGAACAGAGGAGGACCATCTAGCGTATCCCTAGACACATATACACATATAGGTTTCTACATGATTTTCATCGTACGACATGTAGATACATAGGTATCTTTAAGTACTTGGGTGGGTGGTAAATTGCATCTCCTTCAAATCAAACCACGCTGGACTGGAATATACATCTCATCTTATCTTGTCTAGGAAACATACATACATACATACATATCCAATTTCAAATATCGTGCATGTTATCAGATCTTTATTAAGTATTAATTACATCCATTCCCACCACACCCTCTCAAAACCTACACCCCCAAAACTGTCATCAGTCCTGAGAATCAAATGAAAACTTGTAGTGACATCACCCCTCCCTTCTCACCTACCCTCCCGCACTAAGTTAAAGTCTCCCTCATTCCCTCCCATCCCACCATCATATAGTCCATTCCAATTCCACTATTCCACTATTCCACTATTCCACTATCCCAATCCGAGATACAACCCCTCTCAAATTGGAGAGGAGCATAAAATACCTAGCATAGCTAAAGAAAAGCTTCAACCAAAGAAAGCTATACATGCATAAACTACAGGAGCTCAACTTCGTTGTGGGTTAGATTGGATGACTTAGTATATCTTATATCTTGGTTTTTCTCATCTCATCTCACCTCAGAATTGAAATATAAATCGAAATCTAAATCTGATCTCGATACGAGATGTTGGAATTCTAGGTAGAGAGTGGTTTCTCTTTGTATAGATAGGAGATGTTATGATTAAGGAGACGAGAGAGGGGATGTTTGGATATTCATTGTAACTTATGTGACATGGTATGATATGATTAATGGGATTTAATTAGATAGGTATGGTATGATATGGTATAAAGAGATCAGAATAAGGATTTGGAGACGATACTGTAAGATTGGGGTTAAATAAAGTTCAGAGTGTTGGCTCACAAAAGGTACATATATATGTATCGAGTCTGAAAGGGTTCTCTTCCACATAATTCAAACAGAATAATGTAGCTCAGCTCAGCAAATACAAAGTTAAACCATCATACCACTAGCTAGCCAACATGTAATACAGTAGATAACCATCCCAATACTTTTCCGCGCTCATTTTATCACTTCTATAAGCCTATCTCCTTCCCAAATCTACACCCCCGACTCTCACCAACTGTTCTTCTCCCTCCTTCTCACCACCCTCCGATCCCACGCCAAAAAATCCACCAACACTCTTCCCAACAACCTCCTTCCAAAATCCCTCCACAACCGCCTTACACTCCTCTCCACTTTGTCCAAAATCCGGAAACGCATTGACCTCCAATAACCAAACCTCTCCATCCGTATCCACTAAGAAATCAAGTCCAAACGCTTCAAACGCATTTGGCAATGGTTGGAAATGAATACTCATTTCCTTAGCGGCTGCCACAAAAATTTCTGCTGTCAATTTAGATATTTGGGTTTGAATTTTCTCATGTAGAGAGGCGGGGAAGGGGAGAGAAGAAAGAAGATGCACGGCATTTTTCTTCGAGTCTGAGGTCTGTATACAAGTATTTGTAAGATGCGGGTTGAGATCTATTTCGCCCGAGGAGGAAGAGGATGAAGACCAGGGAGGAATGTATGCCGAGCTAGCGAAGAGGGCTAACATGGATTTATAGACGTAAATATCCAGTGCTCCAGAAGCGAGAACATATGTTCTGATATGGAACTTGGTGTTTTTAGGCGCTGTTGTATCAGCATCTGGGGCGAGGAGGAGTGGTGGATGGATATATGGTTGTGCGAGGAAATGACGGAGATGGGATGTTTGGATATAATCTTTCTCTTCATCGTCATGATTTTCAACTTCTTCATCCTCTTCGTCGGAATCAGGTGCGTCCTCTTCCCATCCTTCGAAGATGGCAAGGAGTTCTTCATAAGAGGAAAATAACCTAATACCCTGTCCTCTATCACTCATTCCCGGTTTCAATATCCACCATTCTCTATCCGAGGCGTTGCCTCCTTCCTCATCAACTTTTTCGTTTCGTGCAAAACTTTCCTTCAAATCCCAGCATTCTACCACGGCATCATCCAAGAACTCGGCGTAGTCGACCTCGAAATGCTCTGCGCGCTTGATGTTTGTTTTGAGAATAGAGTCAGGGTTCTTGACACACCATATATGGGATGTTTCACTCAAATAGTGTTTACGAATGAGGGCTTTGCGAATAACGTAGGCATTTGTAAGTGAAGTTGTAGGTTTTGATGTTATTTCATCGAAAGGGATGCTTTCGTATGATGAGATATGGAGGTAAGGCAAGTCTGGTGTTGGGAGATCAGATGGAGAAGAGAGAAGTGTATATGAAGATTGAGGGAGCTGCTTTAGAGCCGAAAGGATTAAGGGTTGGACATAGGAATCCTCGTAGTCGATATAGGCGTAGAAATGAGGTTGCTTTGACTTGGGTTCTTGAAGGGAGAGATCCGATATTGATGGTATTGGATCTAAGGATGGTCTGGCGAAAGGATTGGTCAGAGGTGCTCGATTACGTTGGTGCGTTTAAAATGAGTGGGGAAGAACTTGTATTGGTCTAACAATATCTAATGCTCTATTGATATGCCATTAATAACTCACAACTTCAACTCTCCTTGTGTCGCCGCGGTAGCATGCATGAAATTTGCTTTTAATGGAGTGACACTATAAAAATGTTAGTCTCAGGAGAATCATTGATCTAAAATAGAACATACCTTGTGTAACCTTCCTTAACAGCCCAGCCATCATTACCAGGTTCAGCTTCCTCTACACTCTTATAGACATCTGTGAACCTTGGTGCCCATTTGAAATGTTTATGTGTATGTCCGACAGCCTTCTTCCCCTCCCCAGCTCCCTCCCCCTGCTGCCCTTCCTTTTCTCTGATCTTCTCTTCTTCCTCATCGGCATCCTCATCGTTTCCGTCTACCTCCTCAAAGCAACTTCCTTCTCCCCAGTAGTTCTGCAACATAGTTGTCCACAAAATCTTGTTCTTCTCCACTCCCTCCACCAACGGAACATTGACTGTATACAAATCCACACCCTCACCCCAATTGTTATACAAATACTCGATAATCTTCACTCCAACTCTACTTGCGCCTGCAATAATTTCTGGATCATGGTTTCTCGTAAAAAACGCAAAACTCAACGCAATGGCCTTTCTCTTACAAATCGCCGCCTCCATCGCCCCTCCAACAGTACCACTACTCAAACTGAAAACCGCCGTACTATTTCTCCCATAGTTTGGTCCACTAACGACCAAATCCACTGGCCCTCTATCCTTAAAATAATGATAAAGACCAATTTGTACGCACGATGCAGGTGTGCCATCTACTAATACCCATTCTTCGATATTATCGCTCGAGGGACGAGCATGTGTTGTACCGTCATCTTCGTGAAGGGTACCGGGTCTGAAATACGTGGGTTTGACGGTTTGACCGACCATGTGCGCTTTGCCTATCCATGAACGTTGGGTATGGGGAAGGACGACTGAAACTATGTGGCCGGCGGCTTGGAGATTTTGGACGAGGGAGTGAACATAGGGAGAGGATTTGTTAGAGGGAGGTCCATCATCATTTACTACCTGTTATGAATTGTTGATTAGAATATCAATATTTGATACAATGTAAACTTTCACTTACGAGAATATGCATCTTGAATGTGGTTGTCTGAGAAGTTGTTGTATTCAAAAGAGCTGTTGATATTTTGGTGGGATGTGCGGGGGATATTTATCGATATCGGATCTTTTTAGTCAGGGATTTAAAACACTTCAATACAAGGGCTCTTTGAGCTATTGAGTTTGACACTACCGGTATCAGATACTAAGGTACCTATGGCATCATTTGCATGACATACATGACAATCACAATCGAATCAAATCAAATCAAATCAAATCATCAAAAGAAACGTTTATTAATATGCTTGATCATCATTTTATCTCGTTAGGTACAGTAGTAGACCAATTCTCGCTATGCCTGAAAACTGAAAACGCCATTGCCTGGTATTTTACAAAAAAGGTGCGCGTGAAGGGGTCCAAATTCTGCTATGTGCGATGGCCTCGAAGAACTCATCAAATCATGCAGAATGACCGTTAAGAAGTAAAAAGCATCAAGTGGATGATTAAAAGAAATAAACACTGCAGGTTCCTGCAGTCAAAGAAAGCTCATGAGAAGATATCTCGAGAACCTCTGTGAAAAACTCCCACCCAGTCCGTCCCATGCGTTCACCAATATGCATTCAATCTTCGTTCCAATATCCCTTAAACAAATAAAAAAGTCATAACCAGAATTCTAAGAGAATCTTAGTTGCGTGCTCTCTTCACTTCCTCGGTAGGTCTCGAAACAGATTCTCCATCTCGCTTTCTGGTTGCGCGTTCGAAGTTGTTGTCACTTCCAGAAGACTTGGATGGGCTAGTAACGTGGGAGCGGCCACGGCGTGGGGGAGTTACTGGCGAATCGACAACATCATATCTCTTTGTAGCACGTGTAGCTCTTTTGATAGTGGGTGAAGATGAAGGTCCAAATCTTGGTGCATCCGGAGTCATAAGACCTTGATTGTGGGATGGAGTGCGTAGTTCAGCATCACTCTCTGTCGCATCGGTCTCAAATTTCTCCTCGATATCAGTCAAAGCTTCCTCTTCGTCTTCGGTGGAGACTTGAACCTGTGGAATGACGGGTGCTCTGCGATTGTTGGTGAACAATTGACGTCTGCATGAACGTGTAACAGGTCCATTAAATTCGCCTGCAAAGCTTTGATCGAGAATCATAACTTCAGCACGACCTGCACCTCGGGTTGGACTGTGACTTGCGGATGCGTTTGAATTCTTCTTGAAAATAAGTTTACCACGGCTTTAGTAGTAGTTAGTAAAATTCAATCTTGGGTCGGGTGAAGGTAATGCGACTTACAAATTAGAAACGTGTCCATCCTCACGACCCATAAGCTGCTCCATTGTTTGATCCTCCTCTCCTGGAACGTGAATCAACTTGGGTTTGCGGCTTCTGCCTCTAGTATTTTGTGGAGGGCTACTACCAAGGAAAGGATTATCGGCATGGCTGTCAACCTCTGGAATGCGGTCCTCAGAGTCGGTGAATATAGCAATTGGTTCATCTGCAGATGAGCTTCCAAAGTCAAAATTATCGTATCTCTTGCGATTCTTCTTGGGTTTTGGCATCGCATCCGCAGAATTGTCGGCATGGATCGAGGTAAAAAGAGTACGTGAAACCGCATTAATTCCTTGCTTCAATTCCTCCGTTTGTTTGGGATGGCGTGGGGTTTTAGAAGGTGTTGGTAGCATACCGTCGCCGCGAACCATCGCACCAGATCGTTGATGGTTGTCCATTTTTTGCTCTTTTTTCTTATCTTTAGGAGTGAGACCGAGAGCTGTAGCTGCGGATGAGGTGCTGCCGAGATTTAATGCGCCAGAAACTTGTCGGCCGGCAATTGTGGTAGACGATTTGGGTGCGCGTCGTTTAGTCGCAATTTGAGGAGATTTAGGCGGCGACGAGTGAATATGTTGAGGTGTACCAGAGAAGACAACTTTTCTAGCGACTCGAGGTGTTGATTGCGGAGTAGAAAGACTGTTGCGAATATTATGTTTAATAGATGGAGGTGGTGGAGTAACCGCGTTACGAATTGCCCTTGAAGCTACTCGACTTGATTTTCTGGGCGAATACGGTTCGTAATTATCATCGTAGCCGAATCGTGGTGTTGATGGAGTTTTGAGGGAAGTGGAAGGTGGTGGTGTACTTGGTCTCATAGTAGCGGAAGCCATCTTCGCAAACCAAAAAAGAACCTTCAAGGTCGGTCGGTAAGGTAAACGTCGTTCAATCCAATGCTCAAAATCTACTCAAAGCCCTGTTCTTGGAAGATAGGATAGAATTGAAAGGTATCAAGAAGTGATTCTTAGTGAAAGGTGAAATGAATCCGCAACTGATGGTATATGTATAGGTTGTTTAAGGGCGACGATGTAAATAAACCAGCTGTTGGTACGGTAGTGGTTGTGTTGCTTGCTTGCTTGTTTGTTGATGTGGCACAGAAAAATGTCTGAATTTTGTGAAATCACGACGATGACGCTGAAATGCTAAGCAAAGGAATCAAAATACTCTTGTATAAATGAGGATATTGCATAAATGAAGGAATTAGACAAGAATAAGGTCGAAGGGATGGTAATATTGGTCTTGTTTACTGTCTTGACCAAAAAACCAGGAGGTTGAAAGAAAGATTCCCAGCCATGTTGATTTCCTTAGGCTTTCATTAGTGTCCCAACGCTCGGACGATTTCTGTTAGATTGATGAATGACAGCGAATATTTGGACCAAATGGACGTGAATTTGTGAATTTACGTGACTTTACGCGTCAAAATATACTCTTTGGGGGTCTTTCGAAGGATTCTAGAAAAATTCAAAGTCACATTCTTCCTCACTGACCCACTGATACCGACACTGACCCTGTCCTTGTCCTTGCCCTTACCTCTTGGTCCATTATGGCTACCCCAGATATTGGCAAGCTAGACCTTTCAGATTCAGATAATGAAGACCTTTTTGCATCCCCTTCCAAACCCCCAAAGGCTGATCTCAAGACTCTAAACAAGGGTTCAGAAGGCAATGCGCCGGCGCAAAGAAGTGGGGGATCAAAATACGATGCTGAGACAGCAAGAGAATCGGCTCTCCAAAAGGAACTAGAAGGAGTTCGCAATATCAATGAACTCATAGAAGGAGTACTGGGCAGTCTGGATCTTGCGAAGGGAAATATGGATGTAAGGAGAATTTGTATGATAGGCATTGAATTATCGCTAAGAATTATTTCAGACAGTCTCACAAACGGTTACATCAGCTTCAACCCTACTTAACACATGGATTCGCATACTATCACAGACGGAACATAATCAAAGATTGATCTTGAATCCAAATTGGCGGGGCGCAAGTCAGGATATTGCAGATATGGAGAACGAGCAGGTATTGAAAGCTCAAGCTGCTGAACGTCGGGCTGCGGAGGAAGAGCGAAGGAGAGAAGCTGCAAGGCAAAGAGCGGAGGATGAAGAAAGGCAAAGACAAGCTGGCACAGCATCTCGTGGAACCCGAGGAGGAAGAGGCAGAGCCAGAGGAGGAGTACTAAGACCTGGAAGTGTTAGCTCGTCAGGATACGGTCGTGGAAGTTCGACCGGCTCAAGCACAGGTACTGGCACAAGCAGAGGTGGATCAGGTATTGGACGAGGTATTCCACGAGGCAGAGCACGAGGAGTACGATGAATCATTCAAATCATTCGCTGCAATATTCTACATGATGGTGTCTCAGATATGCCAACCCGGATCGATCATTACCCAAACCCATACCCCAAACCTGCCACAACGCCAAATTTCTTGCAGTAATAAGTACAATCATTTCTTCTTGAAGAAGTCGCTCATCTTTTTCATACCACTAGTGTTGACCTTCTTTAGGTTCTTGACACCTCTGCTCTCACCAGCCTTTTTCCTCTTATCCTCCTCGTCTTGTTTGCGCTTCTTTTCTGCGCGCGTCTCTATCTCTTCATCATCACCTACCGTTGCTCGCTTTCTCGAATAATCTCCCATAGATCTTGCCGCCAAAGCATCTTGTCGCAATTTCGTTAGAGATGCAAGATGGCCATCCAAGGAAGTGAAGTCGATTGGTGATGCTGATGATTTCAAAAAATTCTTCAATGTGTCACTGAGGTGAGGGGCTATGTAATTCGAGCAGATGAAAAAGAATGCCGTACGGATGCGCAGCAGATCCGCAACTCCCTCGGGCGCATCGATCGATAACATGCTTATTTTCTCATCTTTAGAGACGCCAGCCAAATCGCCCGATATTGATGTTACTGCTGTGGAAGCTTCTGAAATTGAACTGGCTACAGTATCTGCGGATGAGTCTGTAATTTGTGTATTTTGTGACTCGGCTCGTGGAGTCGAAGTTCCTGAATTTACCGATGTACTCTGTTCCTCGTTCAATCCTTCCTGAGTAGATTCCTCTCCACGGTTGATACTCAACACTGGTACGTCCAGCACTTTTCTAACGAGTTTCTCCTCCATACTAGAAGGCAATCCGTGCTCAACCATTTTCTTGGCCTTCTTTAAGAGTTCCTTGAATAACTTTTCCTCGTTTATTCTGAACATTGTTTCGTCCCCAGCGTCCACTGTATCGCATACTGCTGTCATTCTTTTTTCTAGCGTCAATCGTAGTGGGCCAGCTCTTAGGAAAGACCCCAAATGTGGTGATATAGATATCAATTTGTCGAAATAATCATCGCCAGACAGGAACAACTTCTTGGGTGGATCCGAGACTTTAGTCGTGGGAAGAGGTGTCAGAGCTGGAAGAATAATGAATAGAGAGTCAATTGGCGTCGCAATGAATAGATCTGCCCCCTTCGTGACATAACCTTTAGCTCTGGATGAAGAGCCTTCTTTATCATTCGTTTCATCTTTGGGTAGTTCTTCCTCTAATGGTGCCGTCGACTCCTCTTCCGGTACAAGTAACCAGCTTTTAGGAGTGGTTTTTGGTGCAGCTATCCGAGTAAATTCATTGAAACCTTTGTTGGGGCACACAAGATATCGACTATCCTTTGCATATCTAGGATTCTCGAGTGTGATAATCCGAGCCTTTGTACTGATATCCTTTGGTAATATGAAAACTCTTGGAGGGTTGATATCGTCTGGCTGCAATTTGACTTTTGGATCGGCGACTTTCGAAGGTTCTGTTTCCACTGCTGCAGCTTTGGTGGCTGGTCTCCCTCTAGTTTTAACCACCATATCCTAAACAGTTGTATGTATAATTATTGTAGAATCGTTCAGTGCGTCGCAAATAAACCACTGTGTTGTGTATTTGAGTTCTGGGTGAATATGTACCTAGCTATCTTAGAATCTTTGAGACTCAACCACTTTAAGAAGTCGCGTCTTGTCGCGTTACATAGAGGCGCGTCGGCTTAGTCATGCATAGCAACCAATAAAGCCAATTGCTTTAAATTGAAGTCCAAGGCTGGGAACGCCTATTGGCTTGCACTATATTTTGAAATCCGGGGTTTTGCGCTTTTGCTTCAATTCAAACATCTGGATTTGGAAATAGAGCGATAGAGCGAACGATAACCCAAAGTTAAAGCTCACACTATTTCAATTCTCATCTGAATGAGCTGAAGATCTTATATGCCAATGGACAAGCTTCCTCAGAAACGAATGACAATCACATCATAAATTCAAATGGTATTCCTGCCTTTACCATTTGATAACCCACAATCTTATATTATCTTCGATCCGTCTGCAGATTCACCTCGTTCTTCAAGCACAAGCAACATCAAATTTCCATTTCGTTGGTTATTGTACAGTGTATGCGATCCGACTTCTACAACTTTCTACGGTACGGATTTCTATGGATGAACGTTTAGCAAAACGCATTACAAGTCAACAATTACCCCGAATTCGCAGTATATATGACAAACAACAATCCTTCGCGAAAATTGATATCACAATATCGAATTAATTTAAACCGCTTCCTTAGCTGCATATTTTGTTACTTGCACATTATTATTGTGCTCATTATGTCCCAAGGTATGTGCGCTGTCATTCCGTATAAAATTTATGACTGAGTAGATAAAAGGCGGTGCTGAAGAGGCTCAATGGCCACCAAGATCTCCCCGAGAAGCACTATTAAGTACCCCCGGTGGTCGTGATCGATTACGACGATACGCAACAGGATTTTCCCCTACTGCTTCCCCTTCGAAACGACGACCCATTGTGTCGCAAACACCACAAGCTATAGGCAAAGATCGGATGAAGGCCGATATGTATATGGAAGAGACGGGGGGCGACGACGAAGACGATGAAGAAACTTTACAGTTGAAATTACAGGAAATCCAAGCGCGACTTCGATTAAAGCAGTTGCAAAAGAAGAACAAGCAGAGTTCGGATTCGGAGGGCGAGAAGATCGAGAGGAGCGAGCAACTTGAGAGTCACAGGCCCACATCGGGTCTTTTGAGAGCAAACTCTGCAGCGACAAATAGAGCGTCTTCGAGATTGGCAGGATTAGGAGCGGCAGGGTTAAGAGAGAGACCATCGCAACGCCCAAAGTCACGTACCGAGATCAATGTTCCAGCATCACCACCGCGCCGTGTTCAGCCTGCTGAACTTCCACAATCTCCTGGAAGGGTTCTACTTGGTATTGATAAAGGATTGAAAGGAATAGACATTTCGCTCAAGAGAGCACCGGGCTTAAGGAAGAATCTAGAGTCAGATTTTAACAATGCGAAACGAACCGGGCCATTCCTACAACGAAGTCAGTCACAAACTGGAAATCGCATATCTGCATCGCAAAGTTTTAATCAGGCGGAGAGACCGAAATCTTTTAGCGAAAGAATGGCTGCAGCCAGGATTACGGATACTGAGCGACAGGAAAGGGCAGCTCGAATCAAGAAAACTCGCAGCACAGCATTCGATATAGATCAGAAGCAGATGGAGTCATTCAAATCCAATGCAATCGAATTACCTAGCCATCCTGCTCCCACCAAAGAGTTCAGTCGAGAGGAAGTCTTAAATTCTCTCAACAATCCGAACGGGGAATTAAGACGGCATAAAACTACTTCAAATTTACGTTCAATGCCAATTAACAGCAACGAAACAACCGCCAGGCCACTGACCCAAGGTCCACAAGGCTCCTTTGATAGCTCGAGACGTCCCGAAATTAAAAATAGTCATGAAATATACGCTGGCCTGAGAAGAGGCTCACAGGACTCTCAAAACTCTTTTGATGCCTCGAAACGTTTAGCTTTCAGAAACGGTAATGGTTCACAGAGCTCTCAAAGTTCATTTGATACGTATCGTTCAGCGTTGAGGAACGGCACTGAAGCAAAGTTCTTGAACAGGCCCGACTCACGTGATAGAAGACCCGATTCACAAGACAAGAATTTAAACACGCGAAGTGCTTTCGATAATTTGAATCGAACGCGTTCGAATAGCAATCTCAACAAAGCGTCATCAGACACTTCCGATGGTGAAACTTCGCAATTCGAACCATATTCTACCTCCCATCTCTCCAAGCGGATCATTCCCCATCAAGTACTCACTCGAACCCTTCAGGGAAAGAAAACTTTTCTTATACCTGATTTACTCAGGACTGTAAAAGCCCCTGACTTTGCCGGCCCTGAGATCGAAGAAGATGTTGTTGTGTTCGCAACCATCGCAGCAAAATCTGCACCACGAGCGCACCAGGACCAAGCTAAGAATGGCGGCAAATTCATGGTTCTTACCCTTACCGATCTCAAATGGGAAGTCGAACTTTTTCTTTTCAGAACTGCCTTTGAAAAGTTCTGGAAGCTCACACCCGGAACTGTCATTGCCCTTCTCAACCCCGGATTCATGCCTCCAGCTCGAGGGAAAACTGACACAGGTAAATTCAGCCTTACGCTTAGCTCAAGTGACGATACAATACTTGAAATTGGCACAAATAGAGACCTAGGATATTGCAAGAGCGTCAAAAGAGACGGTAAAACTTGTGATACCTGGGTCAATACACGACACACCGAATTCTGCGACTATCACGTCAATCTTTCTCTTACCAAGACCCATGCAAACCGCATGGAAGTCAATACTATGAGCTTCGGCCCCAAACGTAATTTTGGCGGAGGTGGAACGGAACAAAAATACAACTCTCGAGATATGGCGGGCTATAAGCAACGCCGAGAAGAACTCAAGAAGGATGAAAAGACGAAATATGACAGAGAAAGTCATAGTCAAATTTACATTGGCAAAAGAAGCGCCGTAAGCTTATTAGACGATGTTGATTTTGACCCTGATGCTTTTCATAGAGGGAGCACAAAGGAAGACCGGATGACGAAACAACTTCTAGCTCAAGAAAAAGAGAGGGAGCTCGGTAGGAAATTAGGGATGATGGGTGGAGGACTCGGTGCTGATTACATGAAGAGACGTAATCCGGTACAACTTAACTCACAGGATACTAGAAACAGCGAAAGAGAACTGTCTCCACCGGATGCTAGGAAGCTTGGCCTCATTGGTACCAAACCTTCTGTTCGATTGAGCCCGATCAACAAGCGTAAGCGAGTCAATACAATTGGCGGAGTTAAGAAGAAGACTCGCTTTGTAACTGCAAAGGGGATTAGAGAGGCGGGAAGAGAGAGTTTGGGAGGTCCAGAACTGGATATTGAATTGGACTAGGAGTTTTTGTAATTTTTCAACGGCTGTATGTATATGAACGTTGGGCATTCAAGTGTCGTTTTTTCGTGATTGATTTGGGAATACTACTTTGGCGCGTTTTGGGCATACTTTATTCGAGTACTAGCATATTATATCCAGGGAGGGAAGGAATGAAGGAGTATCATCTATATCGTTATTGGCAATGGACTGGACTTGGACTTGGACTTGGGACTCGGGTTGGGAGGGGCTGAATGAATGATGAATCAATGAACACGTTCTGCAACTGTATATAAATACCAAGAAGTACAATGACAAGTCGTCTCAAAAGTTTAACTTCAGCTTTTTTTCACTATTTGGCGGTGATTTTGATTTGCAGCTGAGTTTTGCATCGACGTACTCCACTATGTCAGTTTTAGTGAAATGATCTTGAGTATATTGTTGGCGGATTCCCGTGCTCGATATGTTTCGTTTTAATTCAACTTCCGGCGAAGGGTTTGTGTTGATCTAGACACGATCGTTCTGTCTCTTTGCGACTGGATACTAGAATAGTGTCTGAGGTGGGTTTGGTATTAGTTTTTAGCCGAGCTCTAGGAGGTTCGGTTCATGCTTGTAGTTATGTTTCGGCAAGTTAATCTCATGCTATATGGTGCACATAGTTTTTGTGATAATAGAGTAGAATCACAGACCCTATCAGTAAGTGGTTGAAATCTGCCATTTAACTACACTGTTATGGTTCAGTATCAAGATAGGTAAACTAGTCAAAGCTCTTAATTCCCCCTCCTACATGTCCTGAATACAACAGACTCAAATAACCCCCAAGAGCACATACCAAAAGGTAGCCGGTAATACAACAAGTCTACATTCCATCTCTCCACAACCACTTTTCAAGCTATTCAGTATTCAGTCCCTTTGGTAGTTTCTTCTTTCCAGTCTGCCACTTATTTGTTAGCGCGAAACTTCCATATTGGGAAGGTTTCTTTATCAATTTTGTCATGTTCTGAATATCTGGGCCATCCTCTCGTTCACACAGAACTCTTTCACTATAAGCCCTCTCCATAAAAAAGCTCGCTCGCGCTTGATCACTTTGCGCAATGCTAATATTGAAAGCATCCCAGTAGATATCAGAGATCAATATGTTTGCCCTGTCTTCATTTTCCTCTTTGAGTATCTCAATAGAGGTGTGGCAGTCTGCTAGACTTTCTGTGGGGTGTTCAACTGTTCGCTTCTCTTTATGAATTTCAAGTCTAAGAAATTCAAGATTGCTACGTTGAGTATTACTCGCTTGAGTCTCGGCTGGTGAGAAGCTGCAAAGACGACACGTACAATCAAATGCATACGCTCTCTTGAGATGTGCACGCCGTGCATCGAAGGTTTCTCCTTTACCGGGGACGGTACGCGATGATTACCTCTTCTCCAGTTTTGATGGCGCACACGGCGTGGAGATTTCAGCACTCGGTTTTGGGGTTCCAGTAAGTATGTGTATTGGGAAGACAGTCGTGATTGATGAGGCATATTGTAGGACATATATCAACAATTTTAGAACCAGTGCCGCGACCTATAGCATTGGTTACCAGAATACCGGAAAACGGTTGTTCCTTGCAAATGTTATTTTGACGGGGGAAAAATTGCCGCTGCTCTGATTTTGGAAGCCTCTTAACTTTTTGGGAAATATTGCTTTCAAGATATGCTGCTGATGCTGAGGTAGCCCTTATTTCCGAAAGGGATTTCTCCGAAAGGACTCGCTTTCCTTTGTCGATATTGAAGCGAGCTATCAGGCCTCTTTATTTTCCTGGCACCTGTTCGATGCTGAATATCTCCGAATCCTTTACAGTCTGTGAATGGTTCTTGGGCATATCAGAATCAATGCCAGCTGAAGCATTTGGTTCACCCGGCTAAATAGTATTATAAAATACATCTGATGGTAAGCAAACCAAGATTGATATACCTGCTCAAAAGACTTTCGTAAATCGTAAACATTGGCCTATCTATAGAACCCTTCCTGTCCAAGTTTCTCCTCTCAAGTATGAACTCGAGAGCCAAAGTGTTTCTCTGCAATCCGAGTAATCGTATTTAGATGATTCTCGACCCCTTCAGCATGACGAACAGAAATTTCCGAACAAAATCGCAGAAGCTCATGGCCCTCAAATGGAAGAACAAGACCCCGGTCTACTTTGACGGTGATACAGTTCTGTTTTGCTTCTACCAAATCATCGTTTTGGTAGTGTTCTTTGACGGCTTGGATGAAGCACTCCCAGCTCTTCTGATCTTCTATACTTTCGGGTAGGCGTGGAACCAGATCAAAACCGGTGTAGAGATCCATAGCTAAAACTATGTTGCAATTAGATTCTACAGTAAGTTATATATATCAATCCGTCGCCGAGGAAAATCTTTCATGATGTGACGTTTGCTATTTAATCAGTATTTAGATTGTGTTGTGTATCTCAGCATCCAGCCAATAAACCCCACTCATAATTACGTGCCGTCGGCTGGCCGCATGGAAGACAGGGACCATCCAAGGTTCAGAAACGGATTGCAAAAAAGTAATGTGTCTAATGATCGAAATCAAAATTCTAGTCATCTAATGAGCGTATATATCGCGTTTGCATGTTTGGCTGGGGGTTGATGAATAGGTTGAGATCGAAGTAGATGACTTTGGAACGAATTTTGGAATTATGATTGCTTTGTGGTTACCACAATGATTTCTGATTGTGGAATTCAGATCTAGAAGATCTGTTAATTATGCAACTTTGGATTTTCAGATCTTCGATGCCGAATTTGAGCTCTTTGTCGCATGTTTTAGATTGTCTTGAAAAGATGCCAAGCCATCGATGGTCGCCGTCTTGCTCGCTGTCCATGAACGACATGATAACAATACCTATGGATGTAAAGAACTGCTTACGAACATATTCGGAGCTGCACTAAGTGGGTTAATTTCACTTTTATGCAACGGTCAGAAGTAAATTCACTTGCTAATAAAATTAGGGCAGAACAATGTACGTGACCGGGTACTTGCAAACAACAGAATCAAGAAATATGGTTAGACTAGTCAACTGTTGCCAAACTTTATTTATTAAGATAATGATCAATATTGAAGATTAAATACTAAAAATTAAACATTAAACATTTAAGATCCCACTGCTCTCAAAGCGTGGCCTGATTTGTAATGAACGCCGAACTCCCCTTCAGACCTGATTCCAAAACTACACCCTCACTCTAAGCTTCACCAATTATCTCCCACTCTTCTACCGTAGCCCCTGCCTCATCTCCAAAAACTCCACAACTTGTGCCTATACACCCAGCAATCTGAAGCACAGCTGTATCTCCCATATACAATACTTTATCATCAGGTAGTGTATAAGTCGTTTTGTGACCTTCTTCGAGTCTTACATCATCCCCAAAATATTCCTCGCCATCGCCTTCTGGAGAACCGTCTGAAGAAATAGAGTCTGCTAGCTTATCAACATCTCTGATTGCGATAACATTTGCCACATCTGGAGCATCAAGATCAGGAAGAGGGAGGAGGAACTCTTCTCCTCGAGATGCATCAGTGGAGTTGAAAATTATGACATAAGCGCTGATAGGAATTCGTTGTCCCCATACCACATTAATTGTTTTTATTCTTTCGCCTACCGCAGAGGTTGTATCGATAGAGATAGAAGACCCATTAGTATTCTCGGGCTGCCAACTCGTTCCTACGTCCCCGTCATTGACACTCTCTGGCCAGCGATTTAATTCGGTAGCGTCAGATCCAATAACTGGAAGACATTGTATAAGATTATTGGGGGTGGTGAGGTCTTGCCAATACATGTCATTTTCTAACGTGAGAGTCTGATTGAGAGATAGGGTGAAATTGAGTTGTGGATGGCGAGATGCAGGGAGATTTTGAACCATAGGCACCGAGATTGTGTTCTGGGGATTGGAGGAAGAAGGCGAGACTCCAGTAAATGTGATGTTAGTATGAGTGTTATTCATGCTAGCACTGAATGTATATCCTGCCCAAGTGAACTCATTAAGCGTGAGATATTGTTTGGGTGGAGGAAGAGTTGGTTGGATAGTTAGAATATCCTGCGAAGAATCTAGACCTAGATATCCATAGAAAGCAATTTGCATCGTGCCGCCATGACCGGTCAAAAATGGAAATGCGGGTGGGTATCCTCCATTTGCATTAGTGTCATCGTTGGCTTGTTCACTCATTAGGAACCATGGTGCGCGAAGATTGGAAAATACACCCATCTTGTTGTAAGTAGAGGCTGAGCAGCCAGAACGTCCGTATCTTAGTGTAGCAATGGTATTAATGGCAAATGTCATGGCTGGACCATGGAGCGATTGCTTTTGTGTGTAATATTTAAGGTCGGCTTGTTTCCTTTCGAGCGTATAATTTATAGCCTTGGATGACTCTGGAAGGGAAAGAGGGTGGAGCATCAACGTTACATCGGCTTGCTTGACGGTAATGTTGGATGGCATATCTTCGTATTCGAGAGTAATGCCAGAGGAAGAGACGGGGATAGTAATGTTCTCGGCTATGTCGAGCCAAGTGGGTGGAATTGTTTCATTATATTCCTTTTTAATGGAAATGATGGAGTTCATGATTTGGAAGAAAGATGCTTGAGTGAAGGCGCCATTTTTGACGTGGTTAGTCCATTCGTCAGGATCAGTCATGTTCCAGATGTTCCATTTTCCCTGGTCGTCCTTCTGGAGTACTCCCTCAATAGTATGCCCTACACTCTCGACTACTGGCCATAATTCTTCTCTGAAGTATTCCTCATTGCGAGTGATTCTTCTGTAGTCCAACATCATCTTTGCCACATCAGTATTGATATGATACTCATAATCTAATGTGGGACCTGTTCCAGTTGCATTGCCATATCTTCCTGAAGTCCAAGAATACAAGATTGAATCATCATTGAACTTGTACTTTTCCTGTACGTAATCTTCTTGTGCGTTGGCTTTGGCCTGAGAATACATCTTGACACGGTATTTGATCATTTGAAGAGCATAATCAGGATCAGCCAGAGCTATACCAGGGAACATCCAAATATCCATGTCCCAGAAGGTCATACCAGCGTATGGATCAGCAGTAATTCCCCCAACACTAATACCGTTGTCGTTCAGATCATTCCCATCTTCTTGAAGGAGCGTTTGAAGTATCATGTATCGACTAACAGCAGCATTGATTTGATCAACCTCAGCCGTGGTATCGTTCTCTGGTAGGCGACCGGTGACAGGGTTCCTGTAATCGACGACTTTGCTTTGCATACGTTGGTTCCAGATTGCAGTGTGCTCAGTATGAAGCATGTACCATCCATCCCTTGTTGCGTTATCAGAAGCTTGAGCTGCTGTCATTTGTGCGTTGGGAAATTTGTCTGTCGAGGCAATACCAACGAACTTTTGAAAAGTGATCGGATGCCCATATTTTAGCTCGAGATTCCATTCTTGTCCAATAGTCATAGAATTGTTGTTAGGAGATACGATGGACCTTGGTGAAACAGAGCTCAAGCTGCTGTTTGATAATTTTGCCGTAGAGTATGACCATGCCAAAACGTCTGGAAGACCATTTGGGTGATTCGAAACATAAATAGACGCAGCATCGTCATGGCCCTTCTGTCCCAAAAATGACCTCACAGCACTTCTACCATCCAGTATATCAGTTATAGTGATATTTTCTGTTGCGTTATTCAACGGTGTGACAATTAGTTGAACAGCGGCGACGTTGACTCTAGCTGCACTAGTAAACGCTGTATATTCAATCCCAAAGCTTGAACTACCATTCGAATTTGGAGTCCATGTGTAACTCCAACTTGCAGTGGCATTCATCAAATTCAGTGAACTGCTAAAATTACTAATAGTAGCCAAATCCACAGTAGCATTGAGCACCTGATCACCAGCCGTGACATATATATCAGTGAAGTGAGGGATACCAGAGATAACACTCTCATCACCTCGATCGAGAAGTTCTGGATAATTTGTTTCCGTCGTGTTGTGTTGCCTGTCGAAGAATCCAACAATACCTGCAAAACTCTGACGAGGATTGAATTCTGGCCATGGTTCCGTTGGCTGCTTTCCATCTCGATGTGTTTGATTGAAGTCTCTTTCAAAAAATGGGCCAAGTGAGGCCTCAGCAAGACCAATATATCTATGACGACTAAATTAGTATACGCCATGGTTTATAATACTGGTACTACGTTGATGATGATGAAAAATTTCAGGCCGAACAACAGTCTGGGGTAGCAGACTGAACGAAGCCACAGTAAAATAAAGGAATTCAATGTGCAAGATAACGTCGACAATTCAAGCCATTTGAATGTTCTAGCTAGATCTAAAATATGAAATCACCCATTTTTGAACTGCTCTCCAGAGCATTGAGTTTTGAAAGTCCTAAAAGAATTGACGACTAGGAAAACATACCCATTTGATAAGTGCTTCCTTGCCAGAAAGTTTCCAGGTATCAAAAAATTAGTAGTGAGCGTAAGATTCTCATCATCCCAAGAACTCAAACGGTTCTCTGCGAGCACTCCAAAATCCGGCAATGGAGGCATTGTTCCATCTGGAATCGTTTTCGTTTTGAATTGGGAAGCGGGATTGACCTCATCGCCATAGTCGGCACCAAAAGCGATGGCGGGGAGAAGTGAAACCACTACCAAGGGCAGCAGCAGAGACACACCTGTAATCATGTTGAAGTGGTCGGCCGATCTGAATATGAACATTAGCTATGGACTCTACTTGTATATATAGTAAGAACTATGACATACCCCAAGGCTTTTCTTAAGAGAGGGAATAAAGAAAACTGCAAAGGGAGTTTATAGAATTAAGTAGAGCACGAAAAGGATGTGATGAATATTCCTAGATAGTCGCATTTTATTCTCTGATATATGGAGGCGGGGAGAATACGTTATTTATTATAAACTGGCGAAATACATGACGTGGCTACATAAGTACAAGAGCTAGGCTTCGAAGATGACTATTTCATCCTAAGTGTTACTAAATTTAACCAGCTCACACCAAGCTATCGATCCTGCTCAGTCAATAAATCTCCACACCTGTCAAGAATTTCTCCAGATGAAATCCCGCTAGTTCATGGGCTCATTCTTACCTATCGTCATGATCATCCTGTCATTGATTGCCATGCCCAGAATTGAAAAAAAGACTTAGCACCAATTTCAGATCACTGATATACGTTAAATGTTACAAAATTAATTGCCAAGGTAAGAAAATCTATTATATCAATTTCCTCGAAGCAGTCTCATTCGAACTTGGGAAGTACAATCCGGTAGTCGTACTCTTGGCATTGAGAAGCTTAAAAGGGGCTAAACTAGCGAGCTATCAGAAACCTCGCTAAAAACTTGGAAGTCAAAAACTTGGGTCAGTATTATCAAATTTGGCCCTACTCAGAAACTCTCTGATAGTAAAAAATAGATCACCGGTCGGTAGTGATACGACTTGAAATTAAACTACACTGGCTCCGTACTTTCTTGTCTCTAAGCAGTTCGATATCTCCAAAGAGTACGATATTGTCGCCAAGAAAGTCACGAGGAAGAAAAAAATCATTTTGGGTCGGGAGAACATAGCCAGCTAAACTTGGATGATAGCAAGCTTATATATGGAATTTGCTTAGTTTCAATGTCCACAAGTTTCAAGGGGTTATACGACAGATCAAGCTGGAAGTATTGAATAACCAAGTGGGGTAGCTAAGTAGGCTTCAACAACCTAGATTTAGTACATGAACTCTATAGAGTTCAAACTCAAGGACCAGGCCAATCTTATCCAAGTCATTGATTAGGGAGATATTAAGAACTGTTCTTCTCGAAAGATAGATGTGAAGAAGAAAATATAATCCCAAAGAATGTATTAAGATAAATCAATCTATTTCAGGTATGTAAGTCATTAACCCATCAGCCTACACGGATATCCAACTAATTGCACTTGTCGCAAATTCTATCTCATAACTTACCGATGGACTAGCCTTCAGGCTACCATATTACCACAGAACGCCCTATATCTGGTTCATTATTGCGAGACTCCGTGAAGTTAATTGATATCAAAAACACAGATTTGAGGATGCTCCATATTTATGTATCCCTCTTGCATGAGTTATAAACACGTGTCTTGACATAAGAAATAACTCCCAGACAGATACACAAAGATATACCCCGATCTGTATTCTTAGTGTTCCGACTTCAAATCCAAACCCAATATACATATTATTCGCATTTTCAAGAAGCTATGTCAATACATACCCGGCACTTCATCTCATGACATTGAATTGACAATGAACCAACTCATAGACATCTTATGCAGTTTAGACCCAGAGCATATCTAATCCTCCAAACCTATCAATGCCCCTCCAGACACCACATCAACCAGGAAATTATAACTAGTCATCTTGTCCCGTGACCGTATCCAACGCGCATTATTAGGTAACCAACCAATACTTCCACACTTCCATACCTTCCCATCCACAGCCCACTTAGTCTCACATCCATGAACTAGCATGCAAAACATGTCGTTTGGTTGCATATCTAACGTCTGTGGCAATTTGAACAGTGTGACAATTAACTGATCGATTTCCCGTTCCATCTATAGTCATAGGATAATTTATACTAGCGCATTCATATACCTATTATAACTCACCTATCATTATTTCCTGCTTCTTCTTGTAAACTTTATATGAACCCAAGTATTCCCAAAAGGCAAAGAATATTTCGAAATGTCGATCTTGATTCACACCCATCTAATCTCATCATTCCCCATGATTTAGCTGAGAAGAATTTGAAGTTTGTTGCACACCCAATCATTATATACTACCGTGTAAAAACGCTTCATTACCCCTTCTCAAGATTTCCTTCTCAAACCCTCCCAAATTTGCTTGAATTCTACCTACTCTCCGATCTATACCAACCTCCTGATTCAAGTACACACACAACAATATAGCAAACTCCCCCGCCCAATGCTCTGAAGTTCTACATGCATACATCAATCAGTCACGTACATACACAACTCCAAAAACGTTTATTCACTTCGAGACCTACCTACCTACCTAGGCACTTCTCTTTCATAACGCCACCCTCTCCAAACCAATACCATTTCCTACAAACCAATACCATTCCCTACAAACCAATACCATCTCCACAAACCCCACTCCACTTCTCGACCCACCACCACAAAAACAACCCACCAATCAAACAACCATCTGTTTTCCAACCCATGCATTATCCGACATGCCCTCATCCATCATCCTTGTATAACCAAGCCAAGAATCTAGATAGCAGACATAGCCAGCGCTTCTTACTCACTGAAGTATACAAGTCAATCGAGCCCTCCATCTCCAATCTCCATCACTCCCAATCTCATCCCACAACGCACAACACACATCCAAATCATCTCCCAGCGCCCTCCTTGTCTTTTTCACAAGAACCTCCTGCCTCCTCATTTTCATCCCGCTCAATTGCTTCCTCGTCATACCATAGTGTTACGTTTCCTCCTTTCCATGCATCTCCCAAGACTCATCATGAGTTAGTTATCTACTTAAAAATCTGTCAAAGTTCCATGCCATGATTGGAGTAGTATCATAAGTACTATATTCTGGAGAGCCTTGAAATTTTCGTCTTCACAACATATACTAATTCGGGGTTTCAAACTAAGAACTGATCACAACATCAATAGACAGCAACACGAGTTAAAATAGTAGAGTACTAGATTTCTATTTCTCAATAGTACTCTCGTTGCATACCATGGCTTATAGCTCGCCGATAACCCAACTACCATAGCACACTACGTATACCCTGCATCCCATATTCTTTCTATCTACACCATCTTAATTCTCAGCCACAGTTTCAGCTTCAGCTTGCGCTTCAGGTTCTGTTACGCTCTCCCCAACATCATCCTTAACAGGAGGCAAATCACTCAATTTCTCCGGTACAACATCATTGGCATGAGCATCAGCAATAATTTCTTCCTTTTTGATCTCCTCTCTTTGTCCCGATTGGATATCCTTTTCGGCCGAAGGAGGAGAAGCACTCTTCTCAGCACCAATTGCGATTTCCGTAGAATCATGGAGACTGTCTCCAGCAATGTTTGTTGCAAGAGTTGGAGTTGAAGATTCAGTTGCTTTTGTGGCGGATGTAGCGACTTCCTCTGGTTTGGGGTCTGTCTTGGATTCTACGTGCAAGACCTCGTCGGAGTCAATGTACCACAATGTGGAGGGTACTGAGCTTGCCAAAGTGATAGCAGAAGATTCTTGAGAGGCCGCTGAGACAGGGGCAGGGCTTTTAGCAGGTGCTCTGCGGGTAGGACCTCTGGCTCTACCCTTTCTCGCATCTGATAGAGGAACCTTTTCTTTCTCCTCAACCTTCTCCTCTGGCTTAGGCTCCTCCTTCTTTGGAGCTTGTGGTCCGAGTTTCAAGCGTGAATTAAGATCTGCGAGGAAACCACCCTGTAGAGCAGCAATCTTACCACCAACCGGTCTTGAAGGGACAGGTGGCTTTGCCTTTACAGTGGCAGGAGCGCCGTTATCAGAGGCTATCGATTTGGCGGAAGAATTCGAAAGGACTGTTGTTAATGGAATGTTCTCGGAAGATTCACGGGTAGAAGGTTTTGCTGGACGAGCTGGAATTTGTGGCTTGGACTTTAATGGCAGAGGAGGAGCTGCTTCATCTTGCTTCGACTTTTGTGTGGGGCGATCAGGAATGACTGGCTGGGCTTTGTCAGGCGAATTTGATCTAACGGGTCGAGCAGGGATGCTTGGTTTGGTCATTGCGATACCAGTCGTAGCGCGACCTTCATCTTGCGCAAGTCCAAAGCCGGCTGCTGCCTTCTCTTGATGAAACACGACAGCACCAGTGGTGGGTCTTTCATCCAATGGACTCATAATGGGATCTACCTCTGGGGTCTGGGGCGTTGAAACAGTCGTCTGCAATTGAAGACTGTCTGGAGTATCTTCCCAGACATCTCTACTTGGGAAGCGCTGCTGAAGATTCTTTGGTCGGGTTTCTGAAGCAAGGTGTGGTTTATGAGACCACACTTTCTTTTGAGGGTGCAAGAAACTATCTGTGCTTGCATTCTCTCTCTCGGCCAATTCCTCCTGTCGTCGGGCAAATGCTTGCTCCGGAGTCTCCTTTGACCGTTTGTGAGCATCTTCATTATCTTCATCCGGATCTGGAAGTTGGGGTGTGGACACTGTTGCAGTGTATTGCAAGCTATTGGGCGTGTCTTCCCACACGTCTTGACTTGGGAATTTACGTTTTTGGACCTCCGGGCGTTTCAAACGATCAGCAGCAGTTTCAGGCTTTTCCTCGGCACCTAATTTTTCATCTTCTGGGAATAATGGCTCATATTCATGTACCTCTTCCAATGGAGCCGACTCTGTTGCTCGCACTGCTGGCGTATGTATACTTCCAGGTCGACTAGTTTGTTTGCTTCCAGGAGTGCTGCCATATCCTAGATCATCATAGATATTTCTGCGCTCAAATGATGGAGAAACAGCAGGTTGTAGCTCGTATCCAAAATTCTCTTTTGAAACTTCATCAGAAGCAAGAATGGGAGCGCTGTATCCATGTTCTTCACGAAGCTCGTCGTCATCTCCACCAGCCGCTGAATATGGTCTTGATTCATTCGCCGGATCGATTATTCTGCTAGAACGACGACTAGGGGCATCAACGTGAATGGTATCTTCAGG